TTGTATATAAATTTGCCTAGATGTATGTTAAACATGAAAGCCATAAAAGGATATTTATTACAACAAAACAATGTACACACAACAAAACGCAACGCAACACACTACAATAGCAGTAATGATGAAAACATAAAAAAAAATTCTTTATGGACGTAAGACTTTTTTGTTAACTTAAAAAATAAATTGAAGAAAAATTCGCATATGTGATGTGTGTGCAATGCAAAACAGGCAATTTTAGAATTCTAAAAAGGGGACTTTAACATGTTTTTAATAAAATATTTTGTCATACAAGTTTAAAATGGAGAAAACAATAAAAAACAAAAAAAAAATTTAAATTACAGTTTTTCTTTAACATCATAAAAAAATTAAAGAGGGTTAAAAATAAAAAAATTTTAATAAAAATTTATAACTTTGTTTTACAAAATATTTTATTGTAAAAGACACTCTTGTAAAGAAAGAAGAATTAAAATTTATTTTACAATTTTTTAGAATTTTATGCACAATTTCTTGAAATGAAATTTATGAATAATATTGGACACACACGTATTATGTGACGTTATACAAAAGCAATTAATTTTTGCAAAATTTTCAATTTAAAGAACTTTTTTATTATTTCTCAATTAGTTTTAACTTTAACGAGATTTTGAGTTCGCTGTGTCAACGGTGTATTATCCCGTTACTCTTAGGATGATATGACGTTATATAAAGATGTTTGCAACCGAACATGTTTTTTAGCTTACAAAAAAGTGGAAGCTTAAATTGTCTACCTCTGCACAACGAAAAACTGAACATAAAAGGCATTCAGCCACTCATAAAAGATCTCACTACAATTTCAGCAGTGAAATTCAATTTCAGTTCAGTCATCGATTAGACATGAACCCTCCAGTAAAACCTATGTGTCTTATTAAGAAGTGCTTAAATCTCATTGTGAGGTTTTAAAGACCGCACAATGTTAATTTTTACATATTCGAAACAACTAGAACGTTCGAATACTTTTGTAATGGCGACATTCGGTATGAGTTGATTTTGACTCACTAGCACTATGATTCGAATAAAAATCTCGCAATCTTTAAGCATGCCACAAAATTTATTAATTTATTAATTAATAAATTAATAATTAATAATTTTTATTAATTTATTTATAAATAAATAAATGAATTTTCTCTTCAAAATCGAATTTCAAGTTAAGTATATAAAGATCTAATTTACCTCCAACATGTTACTGGAATATTTAGGACCTTTCTTGAAATTAAAACATAGAAACTGGAGGCTTTAACAAAGTTTCATTAACTTGAATAGAAGACTATTTAATTTCTCCCAACTACAAGACCAGGTATAAACAATTCAAATATCATGATCGATCGCCTAGTTTCTTTAAAAAATAGTGTTAATTTTGACAGTCTGTGTATATAAAAACTTTGATACAGAAAACTATTTATTTTTAAATTTCTTTAAAATTAATCCCATTTTGTTTACATAATATGCATGTGTAAATGAAAAGGATTAGGAAAAGAGAAACGTCATTAATATTTATAAAAAAAAAGTACCTTTAGAACATTTAACTCTGCTATGAAAATTCCTCAGTAGCGATTTTTGAAAAAAATTTTACCGTCATTATTATCTTATAATTATAAAACCAAAGCTTCTGTTCTCAGTAGCACAATCAAGAAAAATGCAAAAACAAAAAAGTGATAACGGCGGTACTATTCCATACGTGCGCACATACTTTCATTCTCTATGTTTTATTCGAACATTAAAGCTGAACGAAGAAATTAAAAGAAAAGAGGGAATAAACTTAAGAAGCACAATTTCATTCAATTATTATGACGATAAAAGGAGTCTGGTTTTCTTATAACATCAAATAAAATCAAAGAATTTCCGATCAATTTTACTTTAGAAAAAAAAAACTGACAACAAAGTTGTCTGTATAAGCATGAAAATATGTAGAACGATTAAATGTACTGGATCATTTCATTATCATCATTATGAGATACTATTTATGTAAATAAATATGTATATGGGGTACTTTTCTGCTTAAATAGAACCATTGATTCAGAACTGCCTAATTATTCTTTATCAGTTTGAGATCTTACGAAATAGTTAACAATAGAACGAGCTCTAACTGAAGTATTATCAGTAAATTTTAAGAATCTGTCGTCCATCCATCAAGTTGCAAAATTGTATTCAGCGATAAAATCGCAACATACGTATAAGGTTTTGACAAGAAGATGTTTTAAATAAAATAAATTATTTTCTGTGAAGCTTATTTAACATGGGAGACCAACATTATTCATTTTGTTTCTGGAAATCAACATACGGCTAGAAGCTTTAGAAAAAGTAACCTAATAAAATTTCTTGTTCAAAATGAGTTTCGTCAAGATGCCTTCAATACCCGTATACTCGTAAAACTAAATCACATTTAATAATGTTTCAATGTTTCAATCCAAATTACATTGTTATATAAACAAAAAATTGTGTACAATGATTTGGTTAAGTTGTTTTATATTGGGGCAAAGCCCTACGACACCCCCTCGAGACCCATCATCCTGATGAATTCGAGCAACTTTGAAGGGTCGGTAGACCGTACCTTCACCAGTGTGGGCACGCAATTCTCCAGTACCTCCCTTCTTATTCCCTCAGAAGGCGCTCCGCATTCCCTCAGAAGGTGCGTCGAGATTTCCTCATCTAACTCGTAAAACCTGCAAACATCTTCACTTTCCCCGTCAAGAGCCCGGTGAGAATTCTCACCTGATTCCTGTCCAGTCCTATTCTTTTCCTAAAGCGCTCCTGGTCATAATATCCTAGAAGCTCCTTAGCCTGTCGAAATCCTGGAAGACATCCCCAACGCCGCCTCTCCATTTCTTTTCTCAATTCTCCTTGAATTGTATGTGGTCCGATTCCACAGAAGGGCTGTAGTCCAAGAAGAGGAGTGCTTGTCCCCATTCTCGCCAACGCATCCGCTGTCTCGTTTCCTTCTATGCCCACATGTCCAGGCACCCAGCACAGTGTTGCACCTACTCAATTTGTTGAGTTACATTGTTACTTAAGAATCTAGCTTAATTAAGTTTCTTAAGTATCTTACCCAAGTAAAATACTGATTTTGTTCATATTTTGCATTCTCGGTAGTTACCCGCTCCTATGCTTAATTTATTTTTGAATTCATATGTTTTCGACGAAAAGAAGTTTCATAGTAGGTCGAACAAATTTTATTAAATCAGAAAAACGTGAAACTCGCCATAACTTTACCCTACTATGTTAAAGTTCTCCATACAAAATGTGAAGAGTGTATCGTAAAAAGCTAACATATCTATACTAAAAGATCATCAAATCATTTCCAAAATTTTGTGGCTATTTGAACCATCAGTACTCTGCAAATTCAACACATTTTTCAAGTTCTCATTGAAATTAATAGAAAGGCGGCCAGATAGACAAATGAATAGAAATAATTGAATGAAGATTTGATTACAGGGCTACAATTAATGCATGTAAATGGACAAGTTTTTTTAGTATAACTCAACGACATAACTTGTAAGGGCCTTAATAAATTACAATCTTTGTTACATGTGCTTTCGACTAAAAACACCTACTTCTTTTTATTTGCTCCAAATAATCTTTATTCCAATATAAATTTGTCATGATATTGTAATTTTGAGCTTTAATATAGAAAAAAAATTTAATAAAAAAATCTTAAAAAATTCTTTTACTAAAGGACAATGCGTAATAGCATTTTGTTCTTATGTATGCGACTACCGAAAAATGTCAAAAAAGTTAACTAATTATTTTAACTACCATTTTTTAACATCAATAAAATTGTTATTTATTTCTTCGTTTTCTTTTTCATTTTTTTCTTTTTAGGTTTAATGGAATGTTCTGAAAATCAAAATTGAATATTCTTGACTGATGAAAATAAGATGAACAAAAATCAAATGGAAATCAAATGGAACCTAAACACGCAGGAAAGTATAGAGGAAAATGATCATTCAAAAAGAAAACTACAAAACATTTCTAGTGGCATATTTGAGCTGCAAAAAAGCTAACAAAATTAACAAAAATTGATTTTTTTGTTTTTTAACAGTAGCCATTTGTGTTGAGTCTTCAAAGCCAAGCATTTCTCGCAAAAACTTTTGTTTTTCTACTTAAAACTTTAAAAAGCAAGCAATTTGTGACAAAATATAAAAACTGAAGAATTTATTTAAAAAAAAACAGAGAGCAGAGTAAAAAAAACAAATGAAAAACAGTGTGTGCTTTTTTTTTCGAAGTTATTGAAGAATTCCGATATTTTAACGTTCTTCTTTCCAAAATAAGTTTTGTTATACGGGGTTTGCTTTTGTTTTGTTTTTGATTTACTTTGGTACGTTCGTTGTGCACATTTTGTTGTTGCTTATACTACCAAAATTGTATTTAAAATTTTTTAGATTTAAGTTTTAAATAATTTTCTTATTTATATACGATGTACATACATACATACATTCAACATAGTTTTTGTTCCTTAAGCAATACAAACATATTGAATTTTTTCATTATAAAAACAAGAGTTAAAATGGAATTTTCATTGGAATGCAGTTTAATGACGAATTTATGACAGATGGCGGCAAAATGTTATCATTATAAAGTGTATAACACTATATAACAGCGTAAAGTTCGTATATATACGCGCATCAGTCATCCGCCTTTGTAAAATATTTTAAGGGGAGATTTTGATTAAATGTTTCAACATATTTTATTCGTACATAAATGCATTGTAGATAAAAATATTTTTGTTTTTATTATTTTTTTTAATAATTCATGTCAATATTGCAGTTAATAATTTTAAAATTGAATAATTCAATATATGCAATATCTACACACATACATATATAATTTATATGTATCTATGGAATCTCATTTATGCGAAAATACATTTATGATGAAAAAATAAAAGAGAAATTAAAGTATATGAATAAAAAATTATATTTCAATTGGAATTTAGGCACTGTGGTAATAGTATAAAGAAGTAAACTTACCGGCCATTGTCGGATAACTTGAATATGCAGCTGCACTTTCTAAGGCATGCGCTGTTTGTTGGTCATGATGTAATCTTCAAATTTGATAAAAAAGAAAAATAAGTAAATAAATAAAATTTAGTTAATAAAGTTTTTTTAATATATTGCTTATATAAATATGGAATAATTAAATAAATAAAATTTATATAAGAAAAAATCGGATTTCAGGCAAAAATTAAGCAATAATTTTTATATTTTCAAATTGAAAATATTTGAGATACAATGATTTTGATTATAGACAATTGAGAGTTCTTTGAATCTCTTATCATCAGATTAATTAAGTTGCAGTGCACCCATTTCATTCAATTCATCGATCCAATGAAATTGTACTTATATATGTATTACGAGTTACTACCGCGGAATCCTTAAATACTGCGTTTTCAAAAAATCATTTAATTCTAGGACCTCAGGCGTCATAAGTGTTATTGAAGTTCAATATTTAGGAATTCTCAAACTTACGAAATTTATTATTAAAGAATTATCAAACTCAAATTGTTAGATATATTGATAAAAGCGATACGTAATGCAAAAACAAAAATATTTTGATTTGTTCTATAAAATCAAAATAGATCATACATGATTTAGCTGCTCTACTCATATTAATTTCGAGAAAAGTTATTTTGCGAATATATTGCGGAAAATTCTCCACTTTCTTGAACAAATTAGATTTGCAACATTCGTTTATAGAAATATAGCACCGTTTTTGCTATATATATATCGCCTTATACTGTGTTTATGAAAGCCTATTAAGAAAAATTTACAGGGCTTAAGTTGAAGTTCATATTTGGCTTATTTATTGCAATAAATCAAAATATCAAAAATTAATTAATAATTAATTAAAATATTCCTTTCTGTTCCAAAGTTCTTATAGTAAACAGGAATACAATATGCATGAGAATTATAAAAAATTTCAATAAAAGAAAGTTTGATAATCATACTCGTATAAGCACATATGTCAGTTTAAGACCTACAATTATATACCTTAATATAAAAATTATATATGTACCTTGTTCCATGTCCATATTGCTGAGGTAACCTAAGTAAACTACCATATTGTGCCATATTTGCATGATGATAGGCATGTGCATGTGCTGCATGTGCGTGAGCAGCATGTGCATATGAACCATAATGTGCTGCATGCGGTACCCATGGATCTGTTGTATAACTTCCATCCGCTGAATATAAATCAGAAACCTGGAAATTATGAAAAAACTATAAATATTAAAAAATTTTTATAAGAAATTAATCAAAATTGAAGTTAAAAAAATAAAATATATAATTATATTGTTCTTTTATTATACACATATAATTAAAAATTTTTACCTGTGGATGAGTTGAAACAGGAGCCGGAGGTACGTAATTACTATTCCAAAACGAAGGTGGGAAATTTCTAGCTGACATAGGACTACTTGTTTCTAAAATATTATTTAAAAAAAATTTATTTAAATTAATAAATTAAGCTAGTTTTTTTGATATTATTACAAAATATTTATTTTAGGAAAAAAATATATTGGCATGTCAAACAATTTTAAATCTAATTAATGGTGAGTCAGTTTGCTTGGCAGTAGACTAAAAAATTCCGTGGAATATTGTTAAAAAATTCGTTCTTAAACGTTTTAATTTCCAAAACAAAGCATGAAATCTAAAATATCTAACTACAGTTTTGCATTTTATTTTTAATTCATTTTATACCGCCTGCCATTTTTATTTGACGGCAACCCACTATAATATAGTTTTCGCGCTCTATAAGAGAGAAGTGAAATTGTGTAAGACGCATCAATTTCTATATTGTAAAAATTTACTAAAAATAAAATAATGGTATAAGTCTTTTTCTAATTTCCCATTTAGCTTAAGTTTAAGTTCAACTAAAATTTTTAATTAAATTCATATATATTGTTCCTTGATTTTTATATCATATTCCAAATGTTAATATGAGAAAACTGGAAAATACTTATAGGCGTTTTTAGATAAATTCCATATAAAACTAAAACATATGCAATTCGGCATTACGATTCCAGGCCAAGAAGAGATGTCTTAGCTCCCTTTCTCAGTTGCATCTACCCAATTCACTGAGCCTATTAAGACAGCCCCATACTGCCCTGGAGCCTGACTGTCCGACATAATTTGCATTTTCAATTTCACTCAATTTTATTAAGCAAAATGAAAATTAAAGAAACTTTTAATTTAAAAAAAAAACTGAAAAAATGTGACTGCTAGTTCCGCATTATTTTCAAGTCTTTTTGCAAATTTCTTTTCTATATAAGATTAAAAGAGAGGCACAATTTCTATATTGGATCAAATTTTTCATATTTTTCCTTTCCATCGTCCAAATGCAAGTTTTCAGCAAATAACTGTGTCCAAACGAAAAGCAATTCGTACATTTATTCATATATTTATTAAACACTCTGATCTGTTCTTATATTATAATGTGTAAATTCAGTAAGGCTCTGTGATTTAACGGTGTACGTACTGAAACTAATTACTCGGATAATAGAATGCATTTAATATTAATACACAACATAAACATAAATCAAAATTCAAAAAGAGCTAATTAAATTACTTTATTAAAGATTAGTGTGGTGAGTTGTGTTTAATAGTTGCGTGTAATCATTTACATAAGATCATCATAAAAAATTTTTAATCCGGCGGTAAAAATTAATTATCAACAATAGATATGTCATAAATAGTGTCATAAATTTCTTAATATCAGAGATATTTTCTGTTCTGAAGGAATGCGAATGCATTCTGCCAATTTATGTATATATACACATACACTCTATATAGTAAGTATATAGACTTATAATAACTTTAATATTTGATTAAGTGGTAACAAAAGTACCCATTCAGTATTCTATCATAAAACAATAATTCTTTTGAGTTTAACCATGTCATTTGTAGAAAAGGATTTCCTAGATAAAAATTTTATCCCTGTTTTTTTTTACGTATTATAATATTCTTTTTGTTGGTTTTTATATGACCTTCGACATTAAAACTCTTTGACAATTTTATTAACCTTCAAAGGTTATTAATCGTTTAAAGTCATCTATAAAATTTTAAAATATAATCTAGAAAACTATAAAATAAAAGAAATAGGTAAATACAAAAATCTTTTTTAATTTAAAAGCCATTAATGATTTTGGTTACTATATGTATATATATATATGTATATATACAAAGATGTTATGTAATTTATTACGATCAGTTGGTTGTTACACAAGAACCCAGCATGATATCAGCTCCCTAATTTTTGTCTTCTTACCAAATTTTTTTAAAATCATGTATGAATTCACTTCATAAAATTTCAATAAAACAAATAAAAAATATTTAAAAGATAAATGCGAGTTCGAATAAGTAGCAAATGAAATGGTGAAAACAACGAAAATATTCCTTTGTATTTGTTTATTGGTTTTTTTTCTGCTCCTTCAGGAACATGAAATAAAAATGTTTTTGAAAGACATTTTTGTGTTCCTGTATCTTGGTTTATTTGTTTGTTTTAGGATATTAGGGTTTTGTATTGCTTAGTTTTCCTTTGTTTTTGCTTTTGTATTGAAGTAGTAGAGGATAACTAGAGATCACAATCTTATAATATGGGTTCGATATTAAGTGAACCTTCAAAAATAAAAAAATAAAAATTTAAAAACATCGACTGATCTTTTTACATCTGTATTTTTGTTGATAGTTTTTGAAAAATTGAATTTCTTTCCACTCTTGTATAGGGTTATCGAACAAAAATTCATAAAAATCAACGGTTCATCACACATTATAACAAGTTAAATAATAATTATGTGCATTTTAAATATATTTTTAGTTGTTTGAACACTTTGAATTTTCATTTTGAATATTTGTTTTCTCTTTCTTTTTTTTTTTGGAATTAAAGTACTAGACTTGTTTGCATAATTTAAATTTCGCCATTTGAAAATGTTCAAATATTTTTTCCAAAAGAATAAAATTAATGTGCATTATCGGTTTGGATAAATTTTTTAAATATGTGGTGATTTTACAAAATTTGTTTAATATCAGAATTTTTTACAGATCTAACTCTGTAAAAAATTATTTCCATATGCAAATTAGTACTCGTATTATTAATTAATACCAAAAATTGATTTTCCCTGCAGAATTGTGAAAAAAACTGAAATTGAATTAAAACAATCAGAATCACTTTTGATTTAAGTGTATGAGATAATGGGGGGAAGGAAATTATTTTGCACAACTAAAATTTACAAAAAAAATTTAAAATTTTCCGGTGTGAGGGCAAAGGTATGGAAGTAATTTTTTTCCAAAAATGATTTTTATCCCTGAAGTAATGGTCATATCTTATCAAACGAATGTCATTAACACTTAAGTTAATTTATTTGCAAAAGTTTTCATAAACGAAAGTTGTGCTTATCTGAAAGGCGGTCCAAAATTAATTATACACTTTTACCCTGACATTACATTTATTCTTTCAAATATTAAACTAGATTGGTTCATTCATGCATAATTTTAAAGATAAAAGTTTAAGGTATTCGCGCCAAGTATACCCAAAAAATTTTTCAAAAAAATTATTTCTACTAATTTTACTTCACCTGTCCGTCTGCGCGTCTGTAAATCACAAAACTTCTTTACCATTTAAGACAGAAAGACTTTTTTTTTGGAGAAATTTCCCAAATAATTTTTTCCTATCCCTCTTTCCTTTACAAGTCGTGAAAATGTAAGTTTTTGAGAAACTATACTGTGCTTAAACTAAAAGCAATTTGTAAATTCTGCAAACGCAAAAGAAGTTTCCTCTTCTATCAAAAAAACTATAAACAAATATAAAACTTTTGAACTGAATCTTTTAATAAATAATCATGTAACAGGCACAATATTTATTAATTAAACAACTCCACGTTGTATTAATTATTCAGTAATGTTGTTAGTGTAATAGGCTCATCCTATTAATATTTTCTTGCGATTGTTTGTTTCAAATAGAAGATTGCATGTAATATCTCAATGTAAACCATACTTGATAATCAAGTGGATTACAGTATAAAGCAATATGAAGAACAATTCATCGGCAATTTCTTCATACCTCTGCAGCTCAGTTGGTAGATCGTCCGCCTAGAAAGCGGTAGGTCACTGGTTCGAGTCCAGTTCGAAGAGAAAATTTTTTTAATTTTTCTTCCTTTAACTCGTTTCTTTGATTACGTCATTCAAATTCCTATTGAGTTAATAAGTAATCATTGTCTCCACTGGGTTTTTTGTTAATTTTTAAAACAATTTATCTTCCATGAAGCAACTGGGGTTTTGCAATAAAATATGTATTGAAATTTAATTTTATTTAACAAAACAATCCAGAGCTTTATGTCCTTTAAAGTTTGCAACTGAACTCTATCAAAATGCTATAAAAGGAAACATATAAAACAGTAATCGTGCCCTTACCTAAAAATATACCCTTAACCCTTCACTGTAATTCAAATAGGAATAAAACTCGAACACAAATTTTTCGAAAATCGTTACTTTAAGATTTCTTCTAAAATTATGCAAAATTATATTATTATAATTTAAATATTATAGATCTTTTTCGTTATTGAGACCTTATAAATTGCATTAAAGCAAGCTCCGGAATTGAAGGGGAATATTTTATTTTACCAACTAAAAAATTAAATTTATAAATTTTATTTTTATTTTTCCCATAAGATTTATACAATAAATTTTCGGTTAAATTTTTCACGTAATTTAAATAAAAATTTTAAATTATTAAAATATTTAAAGTTCAAATACCATAAGTATTTTTAGCATAATTATATGTAAATATACATGTACGTATATTTGTATGTATGTATACTATAGTTATATGTAATTATAAAATCCAAATATTCATTGTCATTATATTTTTTTTTTGAATTTATTTTGTAAAAAATAATTTACGATGTTAAGAACATTTATTTTAAAATTTTGAAAATTTTTTCATTATAGCGCCCGAATAAAAGCGCAAATATTATAAAAATTGGCTGAATTTAAAAAAAAAAACTATTATACTTGTATAAAACACAATTTTGAAATAATTTTTATGTGTGTAAGTACAAATAATTTTAACACTTTCATTCTAATTTTTTTTTCTTAAAATTTTTTAAATTAATTAAATTTCATAAAAATTACATTGTATATAAAAAGAATATTTAAATATGTAGATTATTTTATTTATTAAACTTGAAGCATTTTAAGCATATACAAATGCCTCAAGTTGCAAAGAGTTATTTAAATCAAATTAAAGTTCAAAATTTATTCGAAATTTTTCAAAGACCATTCATGCATAATATGCGCCTCTCTTTTGTACCTGTGTTGTTAAATATAAGCATATTGTATTTTTATAATCCATAGCTCGTAAAAAAATTTTTAATATACAAAAAAATTAAATAAATTATAAAAATATTTTCATATAATTAAAATTCTC